TATTGAAGTATAAAACTAGATATTTATCCATTCATTTATGTATTTTGTTCATTTGTTTAGAAATTTATTTATACACTTTTTGCATATTTCTTTATTTTATTCATTTATATATACATTACATTATTTATTTCATCATATATTATTATATTATATATATTATATATATTATATATATAAAGAAATAATAAATATATATTGTGCAAACAAATTTTCAAATAAATGAATAAATAAATAAATGAATACATATTAAATTTGTGCTTATACTTTTTATAATAAAATTAAGTTTATTTTCGATTATTATTAACGATTAACAATTATTAACATTATTCAAAATTGTCATGTAATTCGAAAATAGTAAGAAGATTAAATATCTAAATTTCTAGGAAAAAAACATTATTTAACCATAAATTTATTCTATATTTTAACTATGATTTTATCTCTCAAAAGCATCTAAAACAAAGGAAGTAAATAATTTTTAATTCTTATTCTATATTATCCTGTTTTGAAAAGATATCGTTAGCAGTCGATAGATGACATTAGTTTTCAATTCCTATTATATCTTTTCTTATTATTTTCTGTCTTTTCTTTGCATGTTTCATTTGCCGCATTCTAAAGATGGCGTTGATTTCAATATTTTTGCTCTATCTTTATCTTTCTCTCATAAATTACTATCCTTGTCCATATTACTTTATATTATTCTTAGTGCATGACCACTATAAGCTATATAAGCTATATAAGATATCAATCGAATACATTTTCATTATTTCTTTTCCAAAATTAAAATATGTTTAACTTTTAATACATATAGATATTACATTCTTGGCTTTATAATGTATCTTGACATATAATACGATATTATTCGATGAAAGAATGACGCAGCTATATTGCATTTAAAATTCCATCTTATTCTATCCAGAATAAAAAGGAATTTGAAGTATTTTATTGTAAAACAATGTTATCGAAGATTTATTTGTCAAATCTATTCTTTTATTATTTATATTCTTGTAGAATTTTCCTAAACTTACAGTTAAACACAATTCAATTACATTCAAATACAAATTGTTATCGAATATATGACAAAAGAAAAATTATACAAGATATTAATTTATAAATTATATTTATTTATGTATAATGTATCTCAAAATTTATAATGTATCTACAGAATATATTTGAACTCTAGAATATATATCTCATTGTACTTAATTTTTTAATTTGTAATTACTTTTATATACAAGTGATATTTAAATATTTGGAAAGATTATTTTAAAAAATATTATATCCAAAAATATGAAAAAATATAATTTTATTCTTGGAAATATAATACAATATATTAATTTTCATAATATAATATTTTTTCTAATTTTTAAAATATTTTATTATAAATGAATTAAAATAATTGCAAAATAAAAGTTTATTTCTAATCTTTGCTTAATAAAAATATTTTTCAGTAGTTGTAAAAAAAAAATATTACAATACATATGATATAATAGTGTGACATAATATTAATATGGATCAATCATTCTACTTATTTGTTATTTGTTATTTGTTATTTGTATATGTAAATCATGTATAAAATGCATGTACAATATTTAAAATATTAATATATATCTAAAAATGATATATTAAAATAAAATATTTGTTTTTTTTTATTATTATAATTTTATATTGAAATTCAATTTTAATTTCATTCATTATTAATGTTACAATCTTATCTTAAACCGAATCGATAACGTTAAGAATATTCCGAAACATAGGATAGGAAACGCATTGCATTAGATTTCGTAACTTTATGGTGAAAATTTAAATTTGATAGGAAGATTATGCAAATCATATATTTTATAAACATATCATAAATCATTCAATGGACGAGATCATATAAATCCTAATTTTTTTCCTGAATAACTTAAATTTACGTAATTTCCTATGATCATTTTTGATTTAAAAAAAAAATAGCAGTATATATTTAATAAATTATACTAATATATAATTTTATATTTATATTTATTTTTACGATAATAAAAATATTTATATAAAAATTTTGAATAATTTTGGAAATGTAATATTATAATATTTTTTATAAGTTCTTATCTTACAATAGAAAATCTATCTTCATCCATATTTTGCATATATCTTCATTTTACAGTAGTCTGAAATCTGTTTAACTTTAAAAGATATATATGAAAAAAAAAAATTGTTCTCTTTATCATTTTTATCTTTTTATGTCTCAGTTGCAGTTCCAACTCTTCAATCTCTTCAGATACAGTTAAATATAAATATCTCAAGTTTCATTTTACTTATAAATAAAACTTTTTTATCAAATAAAGGAAAAAGGAATCAGTAAAAAGAGGAAAATATTTTGAAAAAAAAATAATAAAATAAAATTTATTCTCTCAAAAAAAGATAAAAATAAATTTTCTCAGGTTTTTCCCAACTCCTCTAATTCTCACTAACTTTAAACGTACAATTGATATGCAAATGAAATTACGAATAGATAAAATTTTTCTTGTAAAATCAATGGCACACATTCACATATGATTCCTTGAAACTAACTGGTCTTGCATCGTCATTCCTATTCCACAGAATACCAATAAAGAAATATATAGTGGCCGTGAAATATTTTTAAATATTTAAAATAGTCATTTATATAAATGACTTTTTGTTCGCGCAATATGAAAATAAAAAAAAAAAATACAATTAATGTATTGTAATAAATTATATTACTTATTATTTACTCATGGATGATTATATCGATAATGATTATATCATTAATACTTGTAACATAAATTAACATGAATTAACGATTCCCTTGAATAAAACATTTAATATATTTAAATATTTCGCACAATTCGAAGAAAAAAATATATTTTTTATAAATAAGCATATTAAATGTTATTTACAAAATACTTATAAAAAAAAAAAGCTAAAGCAAAAAATTTGAACATAAATTGAATTGACAAAAAATAGTCGTACAAAATGATACGATATTGATAAAAAATTAAGATTATTTTATAAAAATATTTTATCAAATATAAATATAAATTTTTTTTTAATACATCTTTTTTTATCTAGATAAAATTTCCACTTTTCACTATTCTAAATTTTTCTAATTTTCTTTCAGTTTTTTTAAAATAAAAAAAAAATATGATTGTAATCATTTTCTATATTATTACCGATACAAAGTTTTTCAATTTTTGTTTCTCATAAATTTTTGAACGTTTCTTAAAATTGTACATAATATTGTGACTCTTATATAATAAATTTATAATTTTCATGGTAAAATCTTTTGATCATCGTTAAAATCTTCGATCCATTTCTTATTATTTCGTAAGTTTAATGTTGTAAATAAATGAAAAATTTACACTTTTAATCATTGCTGAGTAACTATTGATAAGAAAGAAAAGAATAGAAAATATGTCAAGTACTTATTTTTATCGATCGAAGTCAGCTCATGTTCAGTTTTTTTTTTTTTTTTTTCAGTAAATTCTTCTTTTCAATAAATTCTTCTTTCTTCTCCAATCGTATAAATTTAACATTAAGTATAATTAATTTTAATGACACATCAAATATGTACTATTGTATTATATTCAAATATATTCAAATATTATTATGTCCAGAATCATCGATCTTTCGTAAACGATATTTCCGTCTCATCGTTCTATTCGCCATCGAAAATGGTTTTTCCACAATGACTCCCGATTATGTTCCAACGAATTCAAAATCCACTTATCTATATGCAAACACGCGAAGAAAATGCCTCGTATCATTCGTAAGCATAAAAATCCTCATCTCGTGTAAATAATTCCATTTATTCTAAAATTCCTTTAAAATACCTTTCGCAAAAGAAACATTTTAAATTTGAAATAAAACGATGAAAAATTTGAAAAACTTGAAAAACTTTTGGCGAAATACCTTCGAAAAACTTTATTTTAACTGGTATTTTTATCTCGACATAGTTAAACGCAATTAAGNATAAATTATCCGATATTTCTAATTACAATCGCGCAGAATATTTACAATTCTCGT